CCGTTTGTTACGTCCGATTTTTCTGGGGACGCGTGTCTCGGGGAGAGACTAGGAAAATGGGGGAATGGGGTGGGTGGTTGGTTGAATGAGCTGAAAGATGTTGGCGGAACTAAATATATATATATATATTACAACAAGGTCGCTATGTACAAAGCAGAGGGAGGGCTAGAGAGAGAGAGAGAGGGAGAAAGAACAGGGGGCCTCTTCAGCCCAGTGAGGGCATGTGGTTGGCAGCTTGGAGCTGGGTCCTGGGCCGTCGGGCCACCCTGATCCTCTGGGGGAGGGCCTCGATTCGTACGATGCAGGGCCGAGTCCGGGGCGGGGCCACGCTTGGTTGCCGTGGCCTTGGTTGCTGCTGTGGCCTTGGTTCCAGCGGTGGCTTCTTGGCTGCACCAGCCGGAGGTGCGGGAGGCGCGCTGGCCAGGCTGGCCCGTGGAGGCCTAGGTGCTGGGGTCACGGGAGGGCGCGGAGCCCACGTCCTGGTCGGGCACGGGTCCGGAGGCCTGTACGGTGGTGGGGGTTGAGGGTGCCTGGGGGCAACCGGAGGGTTGGAGTGAGGGGGAGGATGACGCGGGAGCGAGGGTTGAGGAGGCTCTAGAGCCCTGTCGAATATACTGGGGTCGAAGACCCCAGAAGTAGCGTACTCTCGTGCTATGCGCCTGAGCTGGACCTTGTGTCCAGCTCGTCGCGACCTGCCCATGTTTGGGCGTGCCTGCAGGAAGCATCTTGGATTAGCGGGGTTAAAAAGCGGGGGAAGGAATACATGCTGTTAGTGGTGGGGGGTGATTAATGCTAACTTATTTTGAATTAATCCCTTAAATAGGCACTCAGAGAACGATGGAGTTCAGAATCACGGGAGGGTTGAAGTGAAAAAGAGACTTCATATGTTGTCGTTTAATCGAATGCTCAGATGGATTTCTCGATTATGATAATCGATTTATTGCCGTCATCATTGCACTCTCGGCAACTTCTGATTGATCTTATTGTAGTAGGGAGACCCGAGAGTGAGTACTTTGACTGCGGTTAACGTTAATCTGCAAATGGAACGCGTAAGTGGCAAATCAAAAGTAATTACGTAATCACTTCATTGCACCAAACGAAATAACGAAAGTTCATACTGATTAGCACGTAAGATCGGTGAATTTCGCTGTGTGCCCATCTCAGCGCGAGATTCTGTCTGTTCGAGGGGACTCTGTGAAATTGCCCCTGGACGACTGGGAACTGAGGTTAGTTACGACGGAGAAGGTCCCCCTTTCTTTTGCGGGGTTCAGACCAGATGAATGGTGTCGACGACGTGGAGGATGTTTGTGAGGACTGGCGGCTCAATGCCAGTTCGAGGTAGGGTGATGATTTCCCGCCGGAGGAACGCCGTTGGCGGCGCGCAACCAGAGGTGGAGAACCGGAGGAACGCCGAGGGCGGCGCGCAACCAGAGGTGGAAAACCGGAGGAACGCCGAGGGCGGCGCGCAACCAGAGGTGGAAAACCGGAGGAACGCCGAGGGCGGCGCGCAACCAGAGGTGGAAAACCGGAGGAACGCCGAGGGCGGCGCGCAACCAGAGGTGGAACCGGAGGAACGCCGAGGGAGGCGCGCAACCGGACGGAGAACCGGAGGAACGCCGATGACGGCGCGCAACCGGAGGCGGAGGATCGGAGGAACGCCGTTGAAGGCGCGCAACCGTAGACGGAAGATCGGAGGAACGCCAGTATAAAGGCGCGCAACCGGAGGAGGGTTAAGAGATGAAAGGAGAGAAGTAGAAAGAGACAGGAGTGTAGGTAGAGGTAAAGAGAGAGAAAGAGTGTAAGAGATAGGTGAGCGTCGTCGTCGAGGAGGCAGTGTCCTGGTGGTCGTTGCCGTGGGCCACAGAGTTTACACACGCGGTAGAGTCTCGCACTGACGGAATGCCGACTTAGCCTATGGTGACCGATAGTTAAGCACTTAAA